CCTCCTCCCCCTCCTCCTCCTCCTCCTCCTCCTCCCCCTCCTCCTCCTCCTCCTCCTCCTCCTCCTCCTCCTCCTCCTCCTCCTCCTCCTCCTCCTCTTTTTCCTCTTCCTCCTCCTCCTCCTCTTCCCCTTCTTACCCGCTTCCTCCTCTTCTTCCTCATCCTCTTCTTCTTGTTCTTGTTCTTCTTCTTCCTCCTCCCCCCTCCTCCTCCGCCTGTCCTCCCGCTTTGCCCTCTTCCCCTTTCTCCCCTTCCCATCTTCGCCCTATTCTCCTTTTCGTCCTCGTCCTCCTCCTCTCCCTGCTCCTCCTCTTCGTCGTCGTCTTCCTCCTCCTCTTCTGCCCCCTTATTTTTTCACCCCCCTCGCTCCCGCTCTTGTTTTTCTGCGTACTCTCCTTTTTCCCCTCGTCAGCCTCGTCGTCCTCGTCGTCGTTCTCATCCGTTCTCGCTCCTCCCCCTTTCTTCCCCTCTCCTTCCCCTTGTCTTCCTTTGGTTCGTGCTCCTCTTCGTCGTCGTCCTTTTTCTACTCTTTTTCCCTCTCTTGCTTTCTCCTCTTCTTTCCTCTCCCCTCCCCCCATCCTCCTTGGAGGAAGAGGTGGAGGAGGAAAAGGAGAGAAGGAAGGAGTAGGATCATGCTGATGATGCTGATGATGATGCTGATGCTGATGCTGATGCTGATGCTGATGCTGATGATGATGATGATGATGATGATGATGATGATGATGATGATGATGATGATGATGCTGCTGCTGCTGCTGCTGCTGGCTGATGATGATGATGATGATGATGATGATGATGATGATGATGATGATGATGATGATGATGATGATGATGATGATGATGATGGTGATGGTGATGGTGATGGTGATGATGATGATGATGATGCTGATGCTGATGCTGATGATTATGCTGATGCTGCTGCTGCTGATGATGATGATGATGAAGCTTTGGGATAATCTTGACGTTCCGTAAACAAATGTAGCAAGTAGGGTAAGGGTGGGAGCGTGTGGGGTATGACGAGGGGCGTGGTGGGGTGTGGCGGGGTGAAGGGGTGGGGAGGGCTGAGGGAGGGAAGGAGGGGGGTTGGAAAGGGGGGAGGGAGGGTAGGAGTGGGGACGAAACAAGGAGGCATGGGCGGAAGAGGATGGCGCGGGGAGGATGGAGGGATTGGTTTTCTGAAACTTCATTTACCTGCTGCCTCACCGCTGTCCAGAGCGCCACATGGGGGGACGGGAGGCGGCTGGGCCCCTATCAAGTACGACCGCCCGCGCAGTCCGTAGGCGCCGGGGCCTTGGCGGGGCCGCGGCGTGGGAGGAGGGGGAGGAGGAGGAGGAGGAGGAGGAGGAGGAGGAGGAGGAGGAGGAGGAGGAGGAGGAGGAGGAGGAGGAGGAGTAGGAGGAGGAGGAGAGGAGAGGCAAGAGGAGGAGAAGTAGTTAGGAGGAGGAGGAGGAGAGGCAAGAGGAGGAGGAGGAGGAGGAGTAGGAGGAGGAGGAGGAGGAGGAGGAGGAGGAGGAGGAGGAGAAAGAAGAGGAAGAAGAGGAGGAGTAGTAGTAGGAGCGATCATGTTCGATATCGATTTCGGCCGGCCCTATTCGGTTCGATTCCGACGATCCGATGCGGCTCGATGCGTGTGTGGCGCTGTTCGGCATCCTAGCGCGGTCGATTCGATTCAATTCGATTCCACTCCGTGTGCAGATGTGGCCTGATTTGACGCACGGTCCGATCCGATCGCTCCTGCCCCTCCAATCAGGCAGAGCAAGACGCTTGGAGAAAGTACGAGTCTGGAGCCAGTGTCCAGAAGGAGCGGGGCAACCGGGGAGTTGTAGCCAGAGGCTGTTACGCCGCGCAAGCCCAGGAGGGCTGCAGACTCCAGCCTGTCAGCGGCCGCCGACTTGAGGCGGTCTCCGATGTGGAAGCAGGGCCGTCGAGGACGTCGCCAGCGTGGCCGCCAGCGCGGCCTGGCCGTCGGTGGCCGCCCCAGCAGCTGGACGCAGGGCCGTCGACGCTGCTGGCGGCGGCCGCCAGCGAGGCCTGGCCGTCGGTGGCCGCTAGCAGTTCTTGCGCAGGGCCGCCGGCGCGGGAGGCCTCGGGGGCCAGCTCGGGGCGCTGGCGCTGCGCGCCGCAGCGCTGCCCGAGGGCCGGCGCCGCGGCACCCACGCGCCGCCTCCAGCTGCGGCCGCCGTCCGGCGAGGGCCGAGGGCCGATCGAGGCTCGAGGCTCGAGGCTCGAGGCTCGAGGCTCGAGGCTTGAAGGTCGGACCTGCCGATCGAAGCGCCGGCGCTCCCAGGACTTGTGCGCGGGGGCGGGTCGGGGGGCTTCTCCCCTTGGGGCGCGCCGTGGGCAGGCGCCGCTGTCGCGGGCCCGGTCGCCCGCAGGTTGCAGGGGGCGTCGGTGCCCCATGGAGCTTGTGAGCGCCGTGCTGCGGCGCGCTGCATGCCCCCCCTTGTCTCCTCCTCCCGTCTCCTCCTATCTCCTCCCTCCTCGCCTTGGGGCGCGCCGTGGGCAGGCGCTGCTGTCGCGGGCCTGGTCGCCCGCAGGTTGCGGGGGGCGTCGGTGCCCCAGGGGGCCTGTGAGCGCCGTGCAGCGGCGTGCTGCATGCCCTCCCTCCCCCTCCTCCCTCCTCCTCCTCCTCCTCTCCTCCTCCTCCTTCCTCCTCCTCCTCCTCTCCTCCTCCCCCTCCCTCCTCCCCTCCTCCTCCCCCTCCTCCTCCTCTCCTCCTTCTCCTCCTCCTTCCTCCTGCTCCTCCTCCTCCTCCTCCTTGTCCTCTTCATCATCCTCCCCCTTCGCCTCCTTCTCATCCTGTCTCTTCTTGTCTCCTCCTGTCGCCTCCTCTTCTGGTCACCCCGCGCGCGGGGGCGAGGAGGAGGAGGAGGAGAAGGAGGAGGAGGAGGAGGAGGAGCAGAAGGAGGAGGAGGAGGAGGAGGAGGAGGAGGAGGAGGAGGAGGAGGAGGGGTAATTGGGGAGGGAAGGAGGGTTGCCAGCCTTTGCTGTTTCGGCTTACTTCTCCCTGTCCATTTTTTTTATGTTTTTTTTTTTTTTTTTTTGTTTTTCTCTCTCTCTCTCTCTCTCTCTCCCTGTGTCTCTTTTTTGTTTGCTCTGTCTCTCCCTCTCTTTTTTTTTTCTCTCTCTCTCTCTCTGTCTCTTTCTTCTCCCGCTGTCTTCTTCAGATCCCTCACTCTCTCCCTGCCTCTCTCCCTGCCCCGCCTCCTCCTTCAGGTGTCCGAGTGAGCGCGGAGCGGGGTTCGCTGGCCTCCTGGGAACAACGGCCCTCGACACCCTGGCTCGCTTCGCCCCACGCGGCAGCGGTGGAGGAGGAGGATGAGGAGAAGGTGGACGGGTGGAGGGAGGAGGGGGGGAGAGGAGGAGGGGGAGCGGGAGGATGAGGAATCGAGGAGGGGGATCATGAACATCATCCGCAGCAGGCGGAGGAGGAGGAGGAGGAAGAGGAGGAGGAGAAGGTGGAGGAGAATGAGGAGGTGGAGGA